TGAACATCATTAGATACGTTAAAATTTATATAACCCTTTTCTAAAGCTCGATAGTTTTCCTTCCACTTTATCTTTTCAATCGCTTTTTCAAGAAGTTGTGTAAAATCTTCTTTTCTTAAACATTGTGGAGCATTATCAATTCTTCATTGATCATTTACAGATTTCCAAGATTGTTTCAGTGGATGGAACATTGCAACGTCCAACGGTTGCAATATGTGTGTTGCATTTGGAAACAGTGCGAGTAACTCTATTTTGTTTTCAAGACAAAAATTAATCAGTGGTAGTGTAACATGTGATGAGTGGCCATCTACATAAAATAATATTGGAAATTGAATGGCATTTTTTATCAGCCAAGGATGGAAAACATTGGCTATATACTCATAGAAAGATTCAGTCATTCATCCTTTTTCAGTTGTTCCGACACTCCAATCTTGAGGAATTTTACTGACAATAGTATTAGGTAGTCTCTGATACCAGAATAAAATCATCGGAGGTGCCATAATTCCGGCCGCACTCACTGTGAACAAAACCGTTAAACTCTCTTTTTCATCGCCGTTAATTACTTTATACACAGATTTGGAACCTTTTTTGGCTAAAACATGGTCTGCTTTGGGACAAAAAGAAAGCACTTTCGTCGAGATTAAATACTCGAAAAGGATCAATATCAATAAGATCTTTTTGTTCCAAGAAAGTTTTGATTTCGTTAAACCATTCACGTAATTTTTCCTCTGTTACTTCGGCACGACACTTTGATAGATTTTGAGCCATTCTTGTTGTAAGTTCTGGATGTCTTCGACAAAATCCGTTGTACCAACTGCGCCCTGGTCTGTTGTTTTTGAAAGGATTTTTTTATTCATTTTAAGTACATATTTCTGTGTACAGTTCAAAAGTTGATTTTTATTCACTGGAAATCCTCGTTGACAACAAAAGGTAATCCATTATATTACAAAGTTTTCTTCTTCAGATAAAATAGAAGGTCTACGTCTAGCATTCATAGGATATTTATTATTGAGCTTTGAATGTAAAGTGCTTTTTGGAATACCAAATTGATTCGACACAGATGTGTCTTCCACTTTTTATTACTTGGACTGCTTGATCCACATCATTCTGTGTGTATTTTCTTAATGTTTTTTCTTTTGGCATTTTGAAATCAATTCTATAAAAAGCACAATAATTTTTACAAAATTATATCTTATTGAAACGACTATTCACAAAGAAAATACATACTATATGTACAAGTTAGAAACACAATTGTCTATAAATATAAAGAAATAATAAGTTTCCCGTAAAAAAACATTCTTTTTAACAATAAATTTATAAAAACCGTTGTGAAATAACAATTTAACAAATGTAAACGTAATAATACTTACGATTTTTCAGTTCAATAACTCTGTTTATGTACGTGCACAGCAATATGCTCATCAAATCGAAGTGACGTGCATCAATAACAGAACACGCGTTCAGTTATCGGATTTATAGCAATTGTATGTACCTATTTATGAACATCTTAATATTTAATAAAACACAAATTTATTTTGCAATTTCTTTTAATAGATCTTATTTATTAGATATTTCCGATGTTCAAAATATAGTTTATATTTTAATTATACAAAAATTTAAGCGTAAATTCGCTTACGATTTTTATGACGTTTCTAACCAAAATGATTAAGACTCTATCCAAAAACATCCATTCCATGTTTCTAGGAAACAAAACTATTTTTGAAAAATCAAAATATTATATTTCACGTACAAAATGTTCTTTCCATCAACATCTTACTTTAATTTATTTAATATATAAGTACTTTTTTAAATCTGAATTAAGAAAAGCTTAATATTAATAAACATTTATGTTTTCGTTCAGAAATCGGTCTTGTTCAGAAATTGGTACGTTTATCTTATTATCATTATTTTTCCTTTGTTTCCACTCTCCCTTTTTTAAAATGAATTTTGGAGAATTACCGGATCCAGAAAATATCTAGTATCTAGCCAAATAATTATGTGTCTATGAAGTTAGCACAGCATTTTATTAATTTTCAAAAAATAATGATTGTTCCGGTAGCACTTTTCATTGTTCTACTGTTCTTTCAAAAATAACAAAGTGTTCTGCATTTTTAATATCAAAAAATCAAAAATAAAGAAATGCCGTGCTAACTTCACGTTCCAGAATGGCATAATTTCCTCTAAAGTACCAGATGCCATCGAATATTACGACATCTGTCAAGTGTTCCTGTTTCTTTTTAGCTAGATTGATTATTATATGAAGTTTTAGGACAAAATTCCAACAATTAATAATTTTTAAACAGGTTAGAATATTCGCACTCCACGGAACCGTATCGACCCGATAATTTTAAGCATTCTTGACAATAGTTCTGACTTGTTTCGCTCAAGTTCTATACGTATAAATTATTATCAAAAATTGTTCCGCCTTATAAACATTTTTTAAACAATTTTAACTATCGCTACCAGCACGTCACTTGGCGGAAATGTGTCCTACTGATTAATTTCAGCACTTCTGGCGATAGTTCTTGTTCCGATCGAGTTTTATACGAATAAGTTATTGTCAAAAATTGTTCCGCTTTATAAACATTTTTTAAACAATTTTTACTCGAACGGGACAACTCAGAAACTACCGCCAGAAGAGTGCTGAAATTAATCAGTACAACATATTTCCGCCAAATGACTGGTAGCGATAGTTAAAATTTTTAAAAAAATATTTATAAGGCGGAACAATTTTTGATAATAATTTATTCGTATAGAACTTGAGCGGAACAAGTCAGAACTATTGTCAAAAATGCCCAAAATTATCGGGTCGACACGAGGAATGCGAATATTCTAACCTTTTTAAAAATTATTAATTGTTGGAATTTTGTCCTGAAACTTCATATAATAATCAATTTAGCTTAAAAGAAACGGGAACACTTGACAGATGTCGTAATATTCGATGGCATTTGGTACTTTAAACTCTTTAGAGGAAGTTATGCCGTGCTGGAACGTGAAGTTAGCACGGCATTTCTTTATTTTTGATTTTTTGATATTAAAAATGTAAAACATTTTGTTATTTTTAAAAGAACAGTAGAACAATGAAAAGTGCTACCGGAACAATCATTATTTTTTGAAAATTAGTAAAATGCCGTGCTAACTTCACAGACACAATAATTATCGGATATTTGACTGGATATCGTATATCCAGTGTCATATTCTTTTTGGATATTCGATATCCAGTAATTTTACGATTCAGTGTATATTAAATATAAAGCGTCATATATATATATATATATGTATACAGGGTGAGTCATTTTAATCTATGGACCCGAATATCTTCCAAATTACGGTATCTACAAAAAAAT